TCGTAAGTGCTTACAGTTTTTGGCCAGAATTTTTGCAATATTAGCGGATGGTGCACTATTCTCGCACAAGCGTGTTGTCTTTCAAAATCATATAATTAATATTTAATATGCAATATTGAATTTTTCCACCATTTTTAACAAGCGCACTCGCATAGATCGGTCGGGGTTGGGTATCCAAAATAATTAAAATTTCGATTAATACGATTAAACGTTGCAACGCATGCGCATAAGCATATTTTCAGAATATTGTAGAATAAGCGCTTTTATGTTTATATTCAGGTCGGATACTTTTCAGACAACCCACATATTATCCTATGTTGTATATAAATACTTGAATATCTGCATATGCATGTATATGCGTTATATAGTTGTCAACATAAAACTGAATTCAAGCCAAGGGTAAAATAGCAACACATACGGTTTTTTGCATGAATGCATTTAACTGTGCAGAGAGTTTTCAAATACTGATAGCGTTGCTAATACAACCGAAATACAGACAAATTCAAAAATATGATAAAAAAAATAAATGAAAATGGAAATTTTTATTTTATTTTTTTTGTATTTTTAGCCAACAAATAGTTTTCCCATTAACATTCCATCGAAAAAGTTTGTCAAAATATTTACTTCCTGTAGAAAGGAAAATTTCGGAAAATTAATGACAAAATAGAAGAGAAGTGAAAGGATGTTGCTATTATAAAGGAGCAAATGAAAGCTGAAGCAATTGCTTGTGTGCGCTTAGGTCAGTGAAAATAATTTTATAATTTTAAATATTTTATTATAACCAAGAGGATGGTGATGGGGATGGTGATGCCAATTCTTAAAGTTTTTTTTTTTATACTTTTTTGATTTTTTTATTTTTTTTTTTTTTTTTTACGTTTGTTTAAAGTTTTAAACAAATTTACATTCAACATGGAAGCGAAAGTGTTGTCGAACTAACAGTTTGTCTAAATTTAGTATTACAATATAGTATATATAGCATATGCGTACTTATCTAGTCAGGATGAGAAGAATAAGTGCGCAGATATATATATATATATGCAAATGAGGGGGGGAGGGGAAAAATTAAACAAACATTTTTACAAGTACATGTATGAATATCGTTAGCACAAATTTGCGGACAGATTTTGATAATGTATCGAATGTACAAAGTGCAATTTGTATTTGTGTGTGTGTGTGTGTGTGTGTGTGTGTGTGTGTGTGTGTGTGTGT